CGCTACCCCTATTATACACGATAACTCTAATTTGGACTCGATCATTATGTATCTTTGACAGACAATATGCATCCGGAGGCCTAGCCTCTCGTTGAAGAAGAGTGTTCATCTTCTACTTCTCCAGTTCTCTGTGTGCTACTAATTGATGCAGGCAACTCCTAAGTCTAGACTTAAGGGTTTCTGTATGGTCTATTCTGATTACGTTATATACGTTAATGTGTACCTTGAGTCCTCTGCTCTGGTATTAATGATAATTTCCAACACCGCTGGCCTCTAAAATTCCCAGACGATACTTCAAACGAAACGAAAGGTACGCCAACATCAACCAAATGAAGAATTCTTTGAAACCCAGCTCTTCTTCATTTATAATATACTTGGCCAATTTTTGTTCAAACATTGTGGCATCTCCCCTGCTCCTTGTATTAACTTCTGGCAGCGTATCCCTATCCATCAACCCCACACCATATGGCCAATTTATTCATCTGTGCCTTCGTTTGCCCTAGTTTCCACTAACACTGTGCGACTTAAAGTAGATTTAGCAAAGAGTATCGTTATCAGGACTTTAGGGACCCAGTCACAACTCTTATTTATCTAGCCCTAGTGGCTTTTGTAAGCTGATTTCTCTCCATTTAAGTGACTTCCCTTTCTTTTAAATTACCCTCCATTTAACTTCTATTTATCTCATTTAAAGCGTTGAATTTATTTGGAACAACTTTCACCTGGTTTGTACATTTCCCAGAGCGATCTGTCTGCTAGGTCGGCCTCTTGAGTATGGCAGAATCCGGCGACTTGAAGAATGCCCTTTGGATTATAACGAAGCCTGAAGTGGCACCAAACAGAAAATGGGAAAGAAGAAAGGTAATGTAGATAATGGAATTGGAAAAGGGAGGAAAGGAATGAGGTTTATAGGAAAGAGATTAACTAAAACGAAGGGATTTGAGCTTTGGCAGCAGAATATAATTTCATTGAGTAAAGAAAGAGGAAGCTGATGAGGAAGAAAGCAGATGAACAACTTTGAGGTACAAAAAAACAGGCATTCACAACTCCGAACCTATATGCACATTCAGGCATGCTAGCAGCAAAATTGATAGTGATTTTGATTATAGTAGTGGCATCTGCGAGATGATGACAAGCAAGGGCGAGTTTTGAACCATAACAATAAAAAAGATAGAGGATAAAATGATATTAAGATTAAGCCATTAATATATTGACTCTTTATGATGAATCACTAAACTATCTGAAGGCAAATTCAAAAATAGATACTAACGCCTAAAGTTCAAGCCAATTCTGATTAAGAAACAAGTCACAAGATAGCCTTAGACAGCATAATTTTCGTATATTAGTAGAATTCGAGACTACCAGTAAATCAGTAATATGAGGTGTATTCACCCAATTTCGTTTAAGGTGATGAATGACTGATAGTAGAATTTTTCCACAACGATATGAGTAGAGCATTTTACATATCCTTGATATCCCTAAAGATGTTCTCATCCAGAGTAGAATGCCTCATTGTTACGGTCCGACTCCCACTGGTGCGTTGATAAGACCTATGCGAGGTCGAAACTGCGGCCCGACCTTGATGGGAACAACTTCTGGGAAAGCAAGGCTATGTTAAATTCAATGGAAACGTCAGCTCTACTCATATCAGTGTGGGAAAATCCTATTACCAGTCCTTCATTACCTTAAACGAAATAGGGTGAATACATATTATATTAGACAGCATAAGCTGGTAAGTCACTAAAAGTGAATCCTTCTGAGCCCTGTTAGTTAGAGAAATGTGAGCCAATAATAAAATAATGATCGAGGGTGGCATGCTTCTTATAGTTTTTGGTAAGTAAAAGATACAGTATCTGATAAAAGGACTAATAAAGTACAATAAATCGATATTAGTCTGATAATCCTACGGAAAAAGCCCTCTACAGAGTTGAGCCGAGTTACAGTCAAACTCGTTGGCTTCATACATTGATCAAGTTTCAGTCTGTCTTATAGTTTCTATTAGTTGATGGCTAAGCAGCACAATGGTGTGTTGGTAGCGGCTAGAAAAGTCACTTGTGTAAAGGCCAGACGTTTAAGCTCTCTTATTTGGACTTAGCCGGAAAAGATCCTCTTAACTCGCTTCTTCCTTTGCTTTGTTTTAAGCTCCTGCTCCAAGGATATGTGAAAAATCGCACAAATACGAGTTATTTATAGGTTGGCGAATATCGACTTATGCAAAAACATTAATAATGATGCCAAAGTGTAAATATGTGCCTACCAATGGCTTGGCAATTGTATCTGTTGCAGTGGATACAATCAAAATGCAAATTGACCGACTAGATAGAAAATTGATCGGGCCTTGCGCATGAGAGCTTGTGTATAATAAATGATTCCCCACCTATACGGTCGATCAGATTGTTTAGCTCACGCCAATCTTATCTTAGCCAGAAGACAATTCAATATAGAAATAGAATAACATCTAATTTCATCTGTGAACCGTAAATAAATGTTGGATAGAGAATGCAAGATTCAAATTCAGAATTTTGGTGTAACTCTGGACTTATTCTATACTGATTCCATACTATAAACGCACATGCGGAAGCCCCAAAACCGACAAAAGACTGATACAGGTTGAGTAGACATGACAGCAGTGTGGTAGGCAGGATCTCTAGTCGTTTTGTCATTGCCTCGTTTCATCCTCGCTGCCTGTTTCCCATCGTCTGGCACAAGCTTCGCTCTTGCTTCAGCAGCCCCACCTTCACCGGCCAAACGGCGGAGCGATTGGGGTCTACTTGGGTTGATGGCGGATGATGTTGCATTACAGTCTTCATCCTGTTCGTCCGGAGGCAAGCGTGATAGTCTGGGACAAGTGACTCGGAGACCGGTATAAGAAGAATGCTGTTGGGATGCATCTAGGGTTTTGGGACTCGACAGCCTAGGACACAAATCACCGGAACTTAGCCACGCCGTCTCCGCTTGTCCATGGATTGGGGCCTTTTTGCTGAGACCTGTGTTGGTCCGTCGTGCTTGTCTGGACGGTTGGCTAATTGCTGATTGGCTGGACTCGATTGACGTCGAGACATCTTCATTGCAAACAGACTCTTCTTGATCCGAAGCAGCAGGTTGTCCGTATCCAGGTCGCTGAGCGTGCCTGACAAAAGAATGACCACCGCCCTTATTGCCGTTGTTCTTTTTGCCACCATCATTCCAAGTGGCACTGGGAGTCTGGAGAGTAGAGCCACGTATTCGTCGACAGGCACGACATTTAGCAACTTGTTTTTGACATACCACCTCAGTACAACTGGCCAGTTGAAGGAAAGGGAGGCCGCTGCGGCGGCAAGCATCCAGAGGAAGAGCTGGATAGAGGGAACGATGTGTCAGCCGAATGACTGGTAGGGGATAGGAAGAGAATAAGGATAAAATGAGGTAGTCAAATATAGGAGTGTGCAAGAATGCTAAGGGAAATGGCCTTATAATTGTAAGATAATTATGCTCGTTGCAAGAACTGTATTCACCCTATTTCGTTTAAGGTGATGAAGGACTGATAGTAGAATTTTCCCACAATGATGTGAGTAGAGCTGACGTTTCCATTGAATTTCACATAGCCTTGGTTCCCCAAAAGTTGTTTTCATCCGAGGTGGACTGCCTCATTGTTACGGTTCGACTCCCGCTGGGGAGTTGATAAGACCTATGGGAAGTCGAAACTGCAGTCCACTCTGGATGAGAACAACTTTTGGGAAAGCAAGGATATGTGAAATTCAACGGAAACGTCAGTTCTACTCATATCATTGTGGGGAAATTCTACTACCAGTTCTTCATCACCTTAAACAAAATAGGGTGAATACAGCTCATATTACTGATTTACTGGAAGCCTCAAAACTCTACTTACATATGAAAAATTGAATTTGAGACCAGATTTACTTCTTTAAAGATATTTACATATTTCAGAGCTCAAAAGCTATGCTCTAGTAGAGTGATCAAACTTCTTTCCTACGTTTTCTTAAATCAAAAGAAGGTTAAGAAGCATACTAATTTTTATTCTAGTAAAAAAGGTTATGAAACTTTAGGTGGTGCGTCCAAAAAAGGTCTATTTTTAACTTTACTTATTCCTCAAAATGATTAATACCCTCTATCTTTTAGTAACGTCCGATCTCACTTCATACACACTATTAATTTATATAGACTACCAAGTTTTTTTATGCAAAGACAATATCGAGGTTACGAGGAGCTAAGATGCATTGCCATATTTCTTAATGTTACCCTTTTCAGGAATATTATTTATTGTAGATGTGGATAAATATGATTCGACTACAGCGAAAAGTGGTGTTTAAATTCACAGGTCGAAGCTGCTGCACACCACATATGAAAATCAATTGATAGGATGCATAGCAAAGAGAAATTCAAGTTTTAAAGTAAGTATTTCTTTCACTACGTCGTGATCTGACAACATTTGTATATTATATATATGACTATCGTAAATTATATAGCTTATTTATGTTTTCAGAAGTTCGGCCCTACACATTATCGATG